TTTTGAATGCCACAAAACTTTTGATTATAAAACTAGCCATAATTAATGTAATAAACTCATCTTCTGATATGCCCTCTGTAATCCTAAAGATGCTTCCTGAACTCTTTGACCCTTGACCTGTTTCATCATTATTGATGAACCTAAATATGAACAAGTCTTTCACATACATTCATTGGGTAGAGTGTCTCAAAGGAAACGGATAGTCTATGATTTGTTTAAGATTTCAGTTTGCCAGGTACCAGGTTTCTCAAGAGAAATATATTAACAACAACAACAAAAGTCTAGGAGAGATGTTCCTCATAATTTGTTCTGAAAATACATGAATCAACCTGACTTTTTCCAGACTATTTGCTATGCTATTTGCTGGAAAAAAACTCAGCAGTGAATTTGTGATGAAGTACGGTATCGGCCCATGATGGCGAGCCTATGGGACATGGGCCACAGGTGGCACATGGAGCCATTTCTGATGGCACAGCATGCACGCTCGCCAGCTGATTTTGGCCTTATTTGGGGGGCATTTTTCAGCCTCCAGAGACTTTAGGAGCGAGAAAAACAGCCCAACATGCAAACCGGAAGTTGGAAAATGAGCCATTTTTGGTCTCTGAAGGGCCTCTGGAGGGGTGGGGGAGGCCGTTTTTGCCCTCTCCAGGCTTCTAGAAAGCCTCTGGTCCACTGTGCCATCACGTGCCAAAAGCGGGGGGGAGGGCGACGGCGTTGCATGCACATGGGGGGCACTTAACATACATGCAGGGCGGTCGTGCGCATGCGTGGGGCAGGGTGCATAGGATTATGGGTGTGGGCACATGCACGCATGACCCCCCCATGCTCCCCCCACTTTTGGCACTCAATGGCAAAAAGGTTAGCCATCACTGGTATAGGCCAAAGGGCTGACATATTTTGAACTGCATATTTTTCCCAATTCTGCTTTTAGCAAATAGGTCACATTCTCTTTTTCTATGGAGCAGGTGACAGCAACAATATTATTTGTTCTTCTCTACCTCCTCCTCCAATATCATCCATAATTATATTGAATTTTAAAATATCCAAATGGGATTTTTCAATGAATGACTTCGTTGATCAAAGCTATAATCAGGATGCAACTATGAAATGCCGGATCCAACTCTTCACAAAATCCTTTTCAACTGTTTTTCTTAGTTTCTAGTTCTACTTATTACTTTTTAACTGATGGTAAGAGAGTGGTTAATCAGGCAATTCCCACCTCGTTCTCATAAGGCTAAAAATCTAAAATTTCATGAGAAAAATATCATTTTCTATTCACAGGGGCTTCTGTTTCTGAAAAAGTGATTCATATTTTTATCCTTTGCCTATTTTATTTACATTTAAATGCTTACTATTGTCTTTCCTATTCACAATGGGATTATAAATATAAGATGACACAATGTTGAACATTCTAGGTAATGAAATGAGTCATTTCATAGCTTGGAACATTTCTTCATTTTACATATATAGTACAGATGCAATGCCATCTTAATTACAATTTATTCACATAATTACAACAATCCCTTAATTAGGAAACTACTGCAGGGCATGATTTCCAGAATTCTTTCCAAGCCTTTGTGATTAAGAGGTATCAAGGGAGGAGTATTTATACTGGAGGAGTTACGGTAATGGTATTCTGATCTTTAGCCTTACTGACACTCCTATAGGGAAGTATTGGGAAAAATTTAGCTGGAATGTTTTTCTCCATAGTTCCCAGTTGGATATGATTTTTATTTTGCTGGCTTCTCCCTCCAAAGCATACTTATTCAGTTTTTGGAGAATTGTTCTAATTTTGGACAGATCAAATTCCAAGTCCCTTAGTCTGTCAATAGTACCAACTCCCAGTTTTGATAGCCAGTTGTTGTTGTTTAGAGAAACATCTTTGGTATAATCTTTTGTTTTGGAGGTAGGTTTATTTATTTGTTTGTTCAATTCAAAAAGCTTTATTGAGGTCTTTGACCAGTCTTGACAATAAAAGAATACGATAAAAAGAGTAATAGCTTAATTCAGCAGCTAGTTATTAAAATAATGATAGGGCAATAAAACGGTGTAATTAAAATTTTTGCACAGTTCTGTAACTTGGTGAAAATATTTGGCCACCTGATATATGAGTGTAGGGTTAGTGTCCCTTTTAAAATAATAAACATAAACTTTATCTGCATGGCTCCCATATTTGGGAATGATTGGAGCAATCACAGGACATCTTGGGGCATCATAGAAAGGACACCAGATGAGAACTATTCTCAAGTTTTCTTCACTCACATTATATACCACATGATAGGCTATAAAAAGCCATGCCTCTTCGTGAATCTGCAAAAAAAAAAAACCACACATACATTGTGTATGACAATGAGATTCTCAGTCATCCAGGTCATCCTTGTCCCAAAGATGCTTTTTCAAGAACTGAAGAAGCTTCTTAGATGAGAAACAAAACATCTGCAAAGAAAAAAACAGAAAGTCCAGTTGCCTCCTGAAAAAAGCACCTTTGGGCCAAACATACATTTTGCTCTAGTAGTTGATAAATAGAAGTTAAGAAACATACAGTCTTAAAAACCAGGAGGAAACTTTGGGGAGAAGAAGGAAAATGTCGATAGGGAAAGTGTAATGGCTGGCAAGCTGAGATTAATCTAGTTAGTATTGGTAGCTGAAGAGATGTTACTGGTTTTAATTAACAGCAGTATTGGCTGGTAATCTGAGATGTAAAAAAAAGGGGCATACTGCTGAAAAGCAGGTTTGAGGAGAGGCTGAATTAAGCAACGTTCTCAGAAGTGAAGCATGAAACCACCCAAAGAAGAATACTGAAGATAGGGGTCTAATATGGGACAGATTCTGTCCAGCACAGAGGGTTTCGGGGAAGCTAGAAGACCAGAAGAGGAGCGACCAAGTTCTGTTTCCCTCTGTTAGGCAAGGACAGACAGAGGGGAAAAGGCATTATTCATGCAGGAATAGAGTCTTTAGAAATAGAAATGTATGTGTTCAGGTGACTACAAAGGTGGGTTGCTCCCAGTTCGGCTCGGTTTGACTAAGCCAGTAGTGGAATTCAAGTCTGGGTTGCACAACTGGCAGCGACCCAGGCCTTCCACACCCCTGAACCGGTTCCCTCGCCACCGCTGGGCCGCCGCAATTTTCGTTTTTAGTGACTGCACATGCACAGTTCACTGTAAATTGTTCTGTGCATGTGCGAAGAACAGTTTACATTGAACAGTGCACACGTGCTAGTTGCGCACAGATTGCAAACCGGTAGTATAACTGGCAGCAACCCACCCCTGGGTGACTACATTAAAAAACCTTTCAGCTACACAATTTCTAGAAGAGGAATAATAATATTGTACAGTACATTTTAAATCTAAAGCCATGACTTCATTCCGGATCAAAATATAGGGAATGTCCAGGGCTGGCTGACCCAGTAAATAATTTTGCTGAAGAAAATTGCTCAGATTGAAAGTATTTGTTTTAATAAAATGGATAGCACTCTCAAGAGGTGTTTTGCATTGTTTTTCACCAAAATGGATAAAAACTATGAAACCACTATTATCACATTCAGCAGTCAACTTTAAATTCCTTGTTCACCTAAAATAATTCTTATTTTACAAACACACTATCTAAATCAACACATGTACAACATTATTTTCTCATACATTTCTCCATTGCATGCTGAAAATAAAAACTCTGTTCTACACACACTCTACTCAGTGCAACATTATACTGCACTTTTGCTCACAGGGTAGTTAAGTAATCATCTGGGCTCAGGAAATGTCAGTTAAGGAAATGTTAAGGAGGTGGCACCAGATGTGACTATGACTATCTTAGAGAACAAATCCCAATTCACAAATAACCAGAAATGATAGGCTTGAACACTGAACCAAAGTACTCTCAAAAACATAAACATCCATGGTAGATCAGATTCTT